GATAATTAGAGAGGATTTGTTGGAGGTTTTTGAAGAGTTCTATGAGAGAGGCAAATTTAACTCGGGAGCAAATGCAACTTTTATTGCCTTGGTTCCTAAGAAGAAGGACACTCTCCAACCAAAGGATTTCAGACCTATAAGCTTGGTGGGAAGCATGTACAAGATCATCTCTAAGGTCTTAGCGCTAAGATTAAAAAAGATCCTCCCGTCTCTAATCTCACYGTATCAAGGGGCCTTTGTAGAAAGAAGACAAATTGTAGATCAAATACTTATTGCCAATGAATGTGTTGAGGTGAAGAGGAGGAGAAAGGTAAAGGGGTTGGTTTGCAAATTGGATCTTGAAAAGGCATATGACATGGTGGATTGGGATTTTTTACTAGAGGTTTTGAAACGGAAAGGGTTTGGGGAGAGATGGTGCAGTTGGGTAAAGGGATGCATTTCTTCATGTCATTTCTCAATATTGGTGAATGGTGTAGCTAGGGGTTTCTTTCCTGCAAAGAGGGGTATTAGGCAAGGAGATCCATTGTCCCCATTCCTCTTTACCCTAGTAGYTGATGTGTTGAGTGCCATGATTTCGAGGGCCGATGCTAACAATTTGATAAGAGGTTGGAGGATTGGTAGGGAGGAGGTGGTGGTCACACTTACAATTTGCAGATGACATCATCTTGTTTTGTGACGGGGAGGAAGGGAAATAACGAAACTTAAAGAGTAGTGCTTTAATTTGAAAGGAAGTCCAATCTTAAAGTGAACTGGGGAAAAAATTGTGTGCCAGGGCTCAATTTAAGGGGAGAGGAGGTGGATTCCCTAGCTAGGATTTTGCGGTGTGAAGTGGGGGGCTGGCCTTTACAATATTTGGGCCTACCACTGGGAGGGAACCCAATGGTTAAGAGTTTTTGGTACCCTGTAATTGAAAGATTCTCCAACAGGTTAGCAAATTGGAAGTGGAATTACATCTCTTTAGGGGGTAGGATAACCTTAATCAAGTCAACCTTAGCCAACCTGCTAGTTTATTTCCTATCTACCTTTAGAGTACCAATG